GAAGGTTTTTTAAACTTGCAACAAATTTACGATTTGGAAATTTGAAAAGACCGCCAGGAGGAAATAGTAAAAAAGTTAATTCATCCTTATCAGGAACCGAAATCACATGACCGAGCGAAAACAGTTTAAAGATAAAGATACCGAAAAAGTTTGAAATCGCATTTTCGTTAAAAAGTGGAGTAAGGAATTACAAAAGAGAACGTGAGAGGAAATGGCTACTCTATTCGCTTTTGCCGATAATCTTAATAAATTAAAAGAAGTATTTGGCACGGATTTAGAACAATTGAAAGGGAAACGCAAAGGTCAGCATAGTATTCGGGTTAACGACCAATTTCGGATTTGTTTTGTTTGAGAAAAGGGAAAAGTCTACCAATTGGAGTTAGTAGATTATCATGGAGAAAGAAAATAGTAATTTGTCGGTATATAGTAAATACCAAGAAAATTATTGAGAATTAGCAAAAAAAAAAAAAAACAGATAACAAATTAACAATTTGGGATTGAATAGCAACTATTTTTCTACTATTGGGACTAATTTGCGGTCTACTGCTAATTTACCAGTGGTGAAGTAGAAACCAAAAATTAGCCCGCTTACAAGCCCAATTAGAGCAAAAAGAGCAAGAAGGATAGCAAAATTACCAAGAACAAAAAAATTATGGTGAATTAACCGCTAACTTGGCAAAAAGTCCTCAGATTCAGGCTTTTTTTACTGATCTACTAACTACTTATGCGGTAAAGTTTGCCAAAAGTAAAAAGATAAATATCTCTAATTATCCGCTTAATATAACACTACTCAAATTATTGTCTGCTTGTACTGATGACCTAATTACTGTGTAATTATAACTGGTAAAAAAAGCACAAGTTATGAGTATTGTAATATTAGATTTTTATTTCTGTTTTATTGTATTCTTTACACTAAAACAGAACCGCCAGGGCACCTTTTTCATTTGCCCCATCATTTAACTTTTCAGGTATAATTTGTTAATGATGCGAGGTCAGGAAGTAATGTTCCTAACTCCATTTTTACCTTATTTAATATAACCTATAGGGAAGTTCGTCAAATAACTTCCCAAAATAAATAATTTTTCGGCAATTATCTATTTTGAAAAAAGAAAAATATTTCTTAGTTAACTTGTTTTTCCCTTGAATTTTATTCATTATTTAATATCAATTACCTTTTTATTTTTAATGTCTTTTTACAGTATATTTTAAATATTTATCCTCCCCTATTATGGTTAAAGGATATTTCCCTAGGGGAAATTTTTTTTGCTAATAAGTAAAGGAGAGCTTAGTTATTAGGGGGAACCAGGAAGGTTCCCCTTGTTTGGCTAATTCCGTTGCTAGGTTTAGCCAGAACCTCAACCGCGCTATTTACTAACGCAACGAAGGCTTAAAAATTCTAACGGAGAACCCTGCTACAACCAGAGCAAAAAACCCGGAGCCAGCAATTCCCACTGGTATTCATTTCATCTCATTACTGTTATTTTGTGCTAATTGCTGTTGTTGGTGATTAACTTCACCAACTTGCTCGGGAGTGGCTTGGACGCTATTTACTGGTATTTCATCATAAGGCTCATTATTAATCATTGCTCCGTTAGTAGTTAGATAGCCTGATATTTGTTGAGTTTTTTGCGGTCAAAAATAAAAATCTCTGTAATCATGATTTCTCGCAATCTGCTCGAAAATCCATTTTCCTTGGTCAGCATTACCTTCGAATTTATTTTCATTTTCTAATTCTCTCCAACTCTTTCCCTCTAACAACTTCTCTGTTTTTCTTTCATTTTGCAAATGAATTTGAACTCCAATAAAACTATTAGCAAAACTGTCAGCGTATTCCTGGGAGGAAGGGTCGATTTCAAATACTCTATTTACTGCGTCCTTGTTAATTTTTTCCCCATTTCCCTCCAATATTTCGTGGAAACCAACTAAAAAATGTTTTAATCTTTCAGGACAACTATTCGGGTCAATACCAACAGCACTAATCCACTCATAATTGGGCATTAGGTCAGAATTAGGGTAAAAACATTCTTAATCCATACCAAACAAGCAAGGTTGAGTGTCAGAAAGGTTGGAATTAAAATTAGAA